GGGCATGCAATAATTTAAGACAAAAACTATAGATTCTATGAAAAAAATCCTTTTTTTTGTGGCAAAAACTATGGAACAACTGAAAGAGGTTTCAAAAGAATATCATTTTCATTAAACAAATGATTGCGGAATAATAGGACTGACTATTTCATCTATGTTTTTCCTTCTATTTTATTAAAGTTATCATAATGTATGATATGCTCCAGACTTCTTTTATAGAATAGCAATTCCTTCTTCCTCATCTATAATATATTTCAGGAGCTTTTAATCCTGTACAGAAAATTCAGTATTTCTGAAGTGGATCTAATCATAATATGAGGCTTGTGGATTGAGGATGTAGCAAATCTGTGAATTGTCATATTATATTTTCATAAGGTATTTTCAGTGATTTAGGACTGATAAGGGGACATGTATACTAAGAGTTCTCAGATTTTGTCTTTTTATATGTCTTCCTGGACCCATTTTCTTCATTTTAGTTATTTTGTAATCCTTTTGATAATTATATCTGTACCAAGATGAGGAGAGAAAGTAGCATATTCCATTCATAACTGCATAACAATGTTGAATAAATTAAAGCTATTCATTATACTACCTGACAAACAAAATATTTTAGTTGAAGCATCTTGTAATTTAAGTACCTCAATAAACTGGATTAATTTAATCCAACCAATTCACCCAATCAGAATAGAGCTGGAAGGTCTTCTAGCCAGCCCCCTGTTCAAGCAGGAGACACTATATCGTTTCAGACAAGTGACTGTCCGGTCTCTCCTTAAAAACCTCCAGTGGTGAAGCACTCACTACTTCTGAAGGCAAAGTCTTCCACTGGTTAATTGTCCTCACTGTTAGGATGTTTCTCCTTAATTCCAGGTTCCTTCTCTCCTTGATTAGTTTTCATCCATTGTTTCTTGTCCTGCCCTCTGTGGCCTTGGAAAATAAATTGACCCCCCTCCTCTTTGTGGCAGCTTCTCAAAAACTAGTATACTGCTATCATGTTCCCCCTAGTCTTTCTTTTCTTTAGACTAGCCAAACCCAAATCCTGCAACCGTTCTTCATATGTTTTATTCTCCAGGCCTTTAATCATCTTAGTTGCTCTTCTTTACACTTTTCCCAAAGTCTCAACATCTTTTTTGTAATGTGGTGACCAAAACTGGATGCAGTATTCTAAGTTTTGGCCTTACTAAGGCTTTATAAAGTGGTATTAATATTTCACGTGATTTTGATTCTATGCCTCTGTTTATACAACCAAGGATTTCATTAGCTTTTTTGTCTGCCGCCGCACAATGTTAACTCATGTTTAAGTGATTGATACTAGGACTCCAAGGTCCCTCTCACAGTTACTGTTATCCCCTATTGGAGAAAAAATAAATTATATGATCTAACACTATTACCAAAAGGAAACTATCCATCATGATAAATAACACCATAGTAAAGGTGCCTGCTGCTAGAAAGTCTTCATGATATGAACACTGCAATAGGGGCAAGAATGGTTTGGCATTCTATCTGAATATCTACTGACTCCCTGTCTTCAGGAGATTTGCTCTTCTCCAGAAGTAGATAACCTAGGACAATAACAAGGGGATGTGGGAACTGAAGTAAAAAGTATCTTAGCTTAGGACCCGATTACTTGAAGGACAACTTGTCTCTCATTGAATCTGCCTAGCAGGCCTAGTTGATCTGATCTGGCAGGGCTGGTGTGCTTTGGGTGCCTTGGATTAAACAATGCCATCTATTCTCTGTAGCAGTGCCAGCCATCAGGAATGAGGTCCCTCCCCCCCAGGGATTTCAATGGACCTTACCCTACTGGTGTTTTGAAGGGCCCTGATAGATTTGGCTTTTCACCCAGATCTTTGGCAAGCATGATTGAAGCTCCCTTTTCTACTTTTTCTTTTTTCTCATTTGGGCTTCTTATCTCTGTCATCTTTGTTCTTTTTTTTTTCCTAATCCTTTTAACAATTTGTAAACTGCCCAAAGATGCTGGGAGTTGGACAGCATATATTATTATTATGCTTGGTCACACAGTTAGCCAGATGTTTAGGCCAGATTTGGCATTTTTATCCATCTACTGAATCAGGCAGATGTTGTTTTGATTATTATTAATCTACAACTACTGTATATCTAAGGGACATTATGGAAGATAATAATCTAAGACTATGAAAAATCAGCCTACAGACATGTATCAGATTTATTTTAAGATCTCAAGTTATATTAAAGGTAAAGATAAAAGTTCCCTTCGCACATATGTGCTAGTCGTTCCCGACTCTAGGGAAAGCATTACATTGCCTTAAATTAAAAAGACTTTAAAATAAATCATTTTAAGGCCAAAGTATTTATAAAAAATATTCTGAATGTTATTTCAAATATAATCTTATATTTGACCACAAGCAACTTCAATTTAAGCATCCAGATTTAACAATTTTCTTGATCCAAAATACTTTTGAAATACCAATAATAAATGAGCTATTTAAATTACTCTGATCTCTTAAATATTAACTATCACATACTTACCAGTCCTTCTGTGAAACATTTTTACTAAAAAATTTACCAGCATGGTCTTTGTATGGTGGACATATACATTTACATCGGACATCCTGAGAATTCTGTAAAGGCAAGGTGAATTAAGAATGATTTTGTCAGAATATTAAAAATTAAAAATGCAGGGAAACAGAAATAATTCTGAAGGGTGGTTTTCCAGTACTGATGAAACAAAAGCAGAATAGATGGGGCTAAGACACCTACTCAAAAGAAATGTGTCCAGATAAACGTGTATTGGCTGTTCAGCATAATTAAAGAATCTTTTAAGTAGCATAATCGCAACCCCAACTGAAAGACAAAAATCAATTACAAGATCTCATTTTTAGAGAATATTCAAACTAGAAAAGAGCTCAGAAATGCATTTGCAAGAGTCATCTACAATTCTATTTATTCATAAGCTTTATTTATTCAGAGAGATGCATGGCAATTAAATCTTATTTAGGAGTAAGATATTCAAGGTTTTAAGTGCCTTATCTCATTAATAAATAATTATATTAAACAGGATTAAAATGCAGCTCTACCTATTAACATTATTGAGCTTCAGTTATGGCTAAGTAGACAGTATTATTAACTAAGCATAACCTGACTAGTCATTACACTAAACTATGATTTATTTTAAGCATAGGTTATGGCATACAAATCCAACTAATATATATTTGCAAACAGCAATTTGCAAACAACAAAATTAAAAAGCAGAAGTAGAAAAAAAATGATGATTTCCAGAAACCACCCAAACTTCAGAGGAAAAGGAGAGAATATGAGGAACATCTCTGTGCCTTGGCAACCAAGGAAAATAGGAAAGTGTTGAAGAGGTAACAAAAGAGATTTTGCAGTAGAAGGAGGCACAATATCACCCTTGTGAAGTAGCCTAAACAGGAAGAATGTCCAAATGAAGTAATTCTTCTTTATTGTAAAGTTACATTAACAGAATCTTGCAAGTCTAAAGTTGCCTTTACGGCCCCCCAAAAACTAGGGAGCTACTTACTAAGAAGTTCTATATGTTAGAAGAAACATTTCAACCCATCTTCAATATAAACTCCTTCATAGGATAACTGTGATAAACGATCTAGATATTTCAACTTGCCCAGAAAGCAGAGTGGTAAATAGTGTTTTATAGAGTACCACATTACCCATGTGTTTGAAACAACAATCCTGTTACCTTCTATGCCCAATTCAGGATAAGATTATGGTATATACAGTCATACGAAATTTAGATCTGAATATCTACATGATCATGTACTTTGCAAACTCATCTGATGCATTAAATATCCAGCAAGGTACTTTTTGTATATCCCAGTGTGGACAGGCTTCAGTGGACTGAAGCATGGTTTTCAGCAGATTCCAGTGTAGATTGTATTATTTTCGTAATAGATATGTTATAGAACAACTTGTTATTAAAGTGGAACTGGCTCCATCCTTAATATAATTTTAACCACTCTTTTATTTTAGAGATTTTCACACTGCTGATTTTAATCATTTTAATTGTACTGAATTTGAAATTGAATTATAGAGATATTAAAAACCATCTATAATGGGAGTATGCAGTACACATATAAATAATTAAAACTATAATATTTAAGCATATACTTAAAATGTCTGACTTTTTACGTGCTTCACGATTGGGTGCTTACAAATTGAATAAATAAAAATAAAGCAATAAAATGTATGTATATGTAATTCCTACTTGCACTATTCAGCTATTATTTCATTCAAAATTAAATTCATCCAAGTTAACTCTTCTTCCACAGATGCAGATAGATACATAGATAAAAAAATTAACATGCAAAGGTCATACACAACCCATTGTGCTTGGTCCTTATCTTGGCTCTATATAGGACTATATATTGAACAAACAGGAACAAATACTATATATATAGTATATATATATTATATATATGTATACATATATGTATTTATGTATGTATATGTATGTAATTATATGTATATAATTTGTTCCTGTTTGTTCAATATATGTATGTATGTATGTATGTATTTCCCATTTTTAAAATTCTCTCTGATATTTTTCCCCCATTCCCCTCAGAGATCCCAATTAAAAGCATTTCAGACTAGAAGAAAGCATTAAATCTCATTTGTAGCCAAATGTACACCAGACAGCCATATCCACCGTCAATAGAAAATTAAAAAAAAAAATACTAACTGGAATGAAATGCTTATTCAAGCCGAGGTTGAATTACAAATTTGAGCATTACAGGCTTAAGCACCTTACTACAAGAAAAAGAAGTGACAAGCATGGGGGGGAGGGGGAGAGAAAGAAAATCGAAGCAACCTGAGATCATAAACACGGGCCTCTTCGGAGAACTATTCTTTCTGTTATTGCCGGCCAGGATATGCCTGGCTTTAGAAATATATAGAAATAACTCTTAAAAGTAATAAGAGACTTTGCTTAAAAGCGAGAAAGGGATAAGAGGGGAGGGAAAGCCGGAAACGAGGCGGGGATGGCAGTTTAAACGACCGGACGTGAACCCCGTTTTGGCCCAAGTTATCCAGGCGGCGGGGCGCTCTGCCTCCCCCGGCTCCGAGAGGGTTTTTGGCGGACGGGAAGCAGGGAGGTAGGCGGACGGACGGACGAGAGAGGGAGGGAGGGAGGACAGCCTTGAGCTTGGGGAATGGGTTGGAGGGAGGGTGGGGGTGGGGCGCTCACCTTTTCGCCCGTTTCCTGACCCGCCGCCCAGGCCAGAGCCAGCAGCGCCCACAGCAGCGTCCACGCGCCCCTCGGGACCGCCATGGCCGACTTCTGCGCGGATCCTCGGCTTCCTCAGCGCCGCCAAGGCGGGCCCGGAGCCCGCAGCCTCGGCTCTCCGATCATCGAAACTTCCGCCTCCAAAGCCCGCCTCGGACCGGTCTTTCCGTCACGTGGCTCATCGGGCCTTCCGTTTCGGGGAGGGGCGCGGGGCCTCGAGCTGCCCTTCCCCCCCCCAACCGGGAGACCAGCCCTCACCCCCGTTGTTTGGCGCTGCCCTTTGGGCAAAAGGAGGCGAGGAAACTCCCCTTGGTAGGGAAAACGGGAATTGTCCCGCCGTATCGCGGGTGTAAACGCCCACGCCACCGCTAGATGGCAGCCTAGACCTAGAGGTGGCTCGTGGGAGCCCCCTAACGGTCACAGGCATTTTTGCAGTCGAGATACGGTAATAAGCACCTGAGGGTAGAACAAGAAGCAATGGGTGGAAACTAATCAAGGAGAGAAGCAACTTAGAACTAAGGAGAAATTTCCTGAAAATTAGAAGAATTAATCAGTGGAACAACTTGCCTCCAGAAGTTGTAAATGCTCCAACACTGGAAGTTTTTAAGATGATGTTGGATAACCATTTGTCTGAAATGGTGTAGGGTTTCCTGCCTGAGCAGGGGGTTGGACTAGAAGACCTCCAAGGTCCCTTCCAACTCTGTTATTCTATTTCTATAATTCGTGGAAGCTGCTGTTGCTGGACGCGTGTCCAGCCATAAGGGAGATAGGAGGAGTTTGCTCTCCTTTCCTTCTCCTGGGAGGAGGAGAACCTCCCTTTTACTTAGAAATGAAAATTTGCCTGCAACTTGAAAATTGATATGCCGGCGGCTGCAGGGCAGTTTGCTTACTTATTTGGATATTAGCTTAAGGCTGGACATATCCAGACAGTCATAGTACAAACATTCCTGTTTAATGTATACAGTGACCGGTCAAAATTATGTTGGGTCTTCATAGTTGCAGCATTCCCATGGTCATGTAATCATGATTTGGATGCTGGCTCACAATTATAATGTCACAGTGTCCCATGGTCACATTATCACTATTTGAAAACTTTGCTGCCAGCTTCTGTTGAGCGAAATCAATGGGGAAGCCAGCAGAAGATAGCAGGTGGCAATCACAAGGTGCTGTGATTCTGTGGGACTCACTTAATGGCAGTAACTGGGGCTGCTGGAACTGTCACTACACCCACTAAGTGGGTGTAGTGTCATGATGCTAACTATGTCTTACTATTGTTTTGCTTAATGACAGAGTTCCCACTTTTAATTACTTCTTATAAGTTAGGATTACCTGTATAGTAGCAGGGGCATATGCTTCTATAACTAGCCCTAAAGTCCATCAAGATAAAATGAATTTATTTTCAGAAATAGAACTATTGTACAAAGAAAACCATTAAGTCATGGCTATCTAAACCATGATTTATCTAATACCATAATGTTTTATATAATATATTATTTTATAGATCACAGTTGACCTCCTGATGACTTATTTAGGAAGATTTATTTTACTTTATTGTAATTTCCTTGATAAAAATCTGAAAGTAACTCACATATTTGATTTAAGGATACCCCTCAAGTAGACTTCCCACTTCCCTCGGATGAATGAAAAACAGCATAATCAAATGCCTGCAACTACTTCCTTGATTGAAGTCATCCATAGATCCCAAAACTTTCTTTGCCAAAGGGATATAGTGTGGCATATTACCAAAAAATAAAAAGCCAGGATCATTTGTCTCATGTAAAAAGAAAAATAGCATTTGCTGCTTGCATATCACATTCCAACTTTTAGCTATCCTAGATAGCGAAAAGATTTGTTTTCTTCTGAAAACAATATTTTCTGCTTATTTTTATTACCATACATCACTTGTAAATAATTGAATTAACATTAATAGTCCAGTGTATGGCCCATCCACTAACCTGTAATAGTTTTCATGCCAGCTTGCACAGGCTGTATTGGGTGAGGAATATGACTATCACTAGTCAGATTTCTCCTTTATCCAATTGTACATTTTACACAATCCCAGTTTTTACCAATAGATATATCAATATAAGTAATAAATATATCAGTAAACGCAATTCAAGGTGCTGGTTGTACTTTTAAAGTCTTTCATAACTTGGAACCAGGTGACCCAAGAGACAATCTTCTCCTAGTAGTTTCTACTCATCCAATTTGATCCTGCAGGTTGAGCATGCTACAGGTTTTGTCAGCTGAGGAATGTTGACTGGTGAGTACTAGGAAAAGTGGAGCACATCTGCCCTGTCTCACCTGGAGGAGCAGGTAGATACTCAAGGAGAGACGGATACCAGTTGGCATGAATGAAACAAAAAGTAGATTAGATGAGGTCTAAAAGTGAAAATATTATCTTGATCTCATATTCTCATCCTTTTTTCCACTGTTTTTGACCAATCTTTACCTCTATTGTCATCTAATATTTATTTTTCTGTTGGGTCCTTGGTGCTCTGAGATTGATTATTTTCTTTTAGACATTTCATTACCCAAATTACCGGTAAGTAACCTCATCAATGCTGGTAAGGAATGGGGTTTGCTCTTATTTTTATATACTACAGGCTTGCTTTGTCAGTGTTGGTGGGAGTGGTCTTGTGGTTCCTTGATTAGGCTGTTGTTTACTGTTATCTTCTTTGTCTGCATGGTAGTTGCTTGATAGGGGTATTGTTTACTTCTTGATTGTTGGTCTAGTGTTAATCTTGGTGTTAATCTCTGAGTGTTGATTGCTGGTGGTTGGCATTTTGGTCTTTTTGTTTCCTTTTTGGCTTTTTCATTGTCTCCTTTGAGTGGTATGTAGACATTGACAAGTAACACTGACAGGACAAGCCATTAGAATATAAAAATAAGAACAAACCCTACTTCCTTTTAGCATTGATGGTGTTACCAAGTTTGGTAATGAAATATCTGCAAGCAAACCACCAAGCTCAGAGAGCAGTAAGGACCCCAGAGTAAAGCACTGAGCTACAGATACTCTCTTTTATCAGTATTTATTTTTCTCTTCCAGATAGCAGGTTGCCAGGAAGAAATAGACAATTGTTACTAAAGGTCAGTACTGATTGCTTGCAAATGACTTTTGAAATTAATCTGAGGGCCTAGGATTGCATATGGCTCATTAGCCACCAGCTGCTCACACCTGGCCTAGTTTTTATTTTTCTGTTTTCTACCAATTGATACATTTTTTAATCTCACTAAGTATGGAAAGAGCCTTGTAACAGCTGGATAAAATATGGATATTTTGTGGAATGCCACTCAATATCCCTCTGGCAAATGGCAAGACAAATTCTTCTTGCTAGTTTCTTTTTTCCAGAAAATTTGAGCAAACTTCTGATATAATATAAAATAATGTGCTTAATGGGACTCAATAAATCTCTACGTGCCATATCAAAAATGATAATTAGTATAGAAATAACTAAAGAAATGGCTTCCCCCCCCCCGGATTTTAATTAAGCATTTGATCCAGGGAAAAAGTATTAGAAACGTATATGTTTGAACACTATTTTTAAATTAGATGTCTTAAAGATATATATTTAGATCAGTCTCCCATCTAAGTACCATTATCAAACCAGTTCAGTTTAGATTTCCTGATTAACCAGTGTTGGCTAGGTGTTGCCAGCAGCTTAAACATTTACAAATACTGCATGGCCAAAACTAGGTCTCTAAAGGTAGCTTGATATTGTACCTTGGCCTGGCAAAAATTTGCTCTCTCTTGTGTAAAAATCTAGTTTAAGAAACTATTTTGTGGAATGTTTGCTTCTAATTCTGAGCTTTGGATTCTTCAACTAAGAATATGTTTGAAATATATTTTGCTTATTCCAAAACAGTTGCTAAGAATTTGCAACCCTTTACAATCTGTAGCCTTACTGATTATACTTCATTACCTATTAGTGTGACTAAATGTGTGCACATTTCCAAAGGTGTTGCAAAGAGAAAGCAGAACAACCCATTTTAAAATCAATTAATTGCATTCATTATTTCCTGTAGTTGGAAATTACAGCAACCCACTCTCCCAATCTTTCAGCCACTTTTCAGTTATGCTGACAATCTTGCTTTTGTATAAATAATGTTCATGCCAAGAAACTGAAAAAGAACAGGTAATGTTTTTCTTTGAATTTACCATCTCAAAAGCAAATAACATCTCCCATGTAGGAAAAAAAATTAAAACAGCTTTGTTTAGAATATTAAGAATCTTCAATTAATACAGTACAAATATTTTTGTATCAAGATAACATAATGTATTAAAATTTATAACAATGTAATAAAGCTGAAAAAAAAGAGAAATCATCCATTATCTATATGTCTTTCCATTCTGAAAGTTGTATAATCCAATCTAGAAGGGCTTTGAAGGGGGCAGAGGTCGACCCCAAGGCGCCTAATTTGTGGGGTGCCACAGGGGTTGGTCCTCTCGCCCCTCCTGTTCAACATTTATGTGAAGCCGCTGGGCGAGATCATCCATGGCTTCAGGGTGGATTTCCATCAGTACGCTGATGATACTCAGCTGTACATTTCCACCCCGGGCTACCCCAATAATGCCCTTGAAGTGATGACCCAGTGCTTGGAAGCTATATGGATCTGGATGGGGAGGAACAAGCTCAGACTCAACCCCTCCAAGACCGAGTGGCTGTGGTTTCTGGCATCCCGTCATAGTCAGTTGACTCCATCACTGACTATTGGGGGTGAGATCTTGATCCCCTCAGAGAGGGTTCGCAACTTGGGTGTCCTTCTGGACTCGCAGCTGTCTTTAGAAGACCATCTGACGGCTGTGGCTAGGAGGGCTTTTTATCAGGTTCACCTGATTTACCAGTTGCATCCCTTTTTGGACCGGGACTCCCAACGCACAGTCACTCATGCCCTCGTCACCTCCCGTCTGGACTATTGTAACGCTCTCTACGTGGGGCTCCCCTTGAAGAGCACCCGGAGGCTCCAACTGGTCTAGAATGCGGCCGCGCTGGTAATTACGGGAGCGACTTGACGCTCCCATGTAACACCGCTCCTGCGCGAGCTGCACTGGCTCCCGGTGGTCTTCTGGGAGCAATTTAAAGTGCTGGTTGCCACCTTTAAAGCGCTCCATGGCTTGGGACCTGGGTATTTACGAGACCGCCTTCTGCCACCAATAGCCTCCCATCGACCGCTACGCTCCCACAGAGAGGGGCTCCTCCGGGTGCCGTCGGTTAGGCAATGTCGGCTGACAACCCCCAGGGGGAGAGCATTCTCTGTGGGGCCCCCTACCCTCTGGAATGAGCTGCCCCCGGAGATTCGTAGGATTCACGACCTTTGTACCTTTCGTCGCGCCCTAAAAACACTATTATTCCAACAAGTAGGGCTGGCCTAAATAATAATAACATTTTACTATTTTAATGGGTTGTTTTATTAGAGTTTTTTGGCCAATTTATTTAATTGTTTTAAATTGCTTTTATTTATTTTTATTTATTTATTTATTTGTTTAAATTTCTATACCGCCCTTCTCCAATATAGGACTCAGGGCGGTGAACAGCCGAAAATAAAAACAAGACATACATACAAAACATACAAAATCTAAAAACTGATTAAAATAATTAAATCTTTTGGCCGTGATTAAAACAATTCCAATTTAAAATCAGTTTAAAATTTGACTCAAGCCAGCCCAGCTAGTTGAAATAAATGGATTTTCAGGGCTTGACGAAAAATCCGGAGGTCTGTTATTGTACGTAACTCTGGGGGGAGGTTGTTCCAGAGGGTGGGCGCCACCACAGAGAAGGCTCTCCCCCTGGGGGTCGCCAGCCGACATTGTCTGGCGGACGGCACCCTGAGGAGGCCCACTCTGTGTGAGCGTACTGGCCGGTGGGAGGCTATTGGTGGCAGAAGGCGGTCTCGTAAGTACCCCGGCCCTAAGCCATGGAGCACTTTAAAGGTGGTCACCAATACCTTGAAGCGCACCCGGAAGACCACCGGGAGCCAGTGCAGCTCGCGCAGGAGAGGTGTCACATGGGAGCGCCTCGTCGCCCCCATAATCCCCATAATTTTAATTTTTATATTGTCATGGTTTTAGTTTTGGCTTCACACCGCCCTGAGTCCTTCGGGAGAAGGGCGGTATAGAAATTCAATAAAATAAAATAAATAAATTTGTCCAAATCTTCTGCTTGTCCTGGAGATCTGTAGAAACTATTTTATCTAATCTGGAGACTATCTTGCAAGCCAACATTGCTGCTGTACATATTCCACCAACTAGGAGCCATGTATGTACTTAATGTTGGTACATAATGGCCATCTACTGGGTTTTGCTGCCTCACCATGTAATATTTTGCCCCTGAAGACTAACAGCTAAAGATGTTTCCTTATATTTTTGTATCTACTACTCCAAGGTGATTTTAATGCTAATATGCTGGCATTTGGGTGTGAATTTTCCAGTGTAGTCATGAAGTCAGCGTGTCAGGCTTGAAAATTCACTGGATTAACTATCTTCTCATTTATTCCAGCATCTTAAATTCAGACTTCAGAACTTCTCCTGTGACAGCAGTTTGTACAATGTTTTTGATTAATAAACCCTAAGAATGTACAATTCTAAAATGTGTACCATTGTATTGATATAATGTCATGACCCTCCTAAGGTTTGAGCAAAGCATGCCCTACTTTCTCTGCATTTCCATGACAACTATTTGAAAAAAAGCTCCCATTTCAATTTTCACATTCCTTCATTGTATCTCACAGCTGCATTCAACTTGAGAGTTTTTTCTGCCAATTATTCACCAGTTTTTTAAAACTGAAATACAGTTAATTTATATGTTAGTGGCTAAAGAAATGAAGATTAGAAAAGCATATTATATAAAATATCTAGCAGGCCATAATATCCCATATATACCAAATATAGAGTCTAGGGGTAGAAGCCAGAACTAATCACATGTTCTCGAAGGGGATGTAAATCCTAAAATAAGTTTTAATGTTAGCTTTTATGGCAGAGAAGAGGCAGATGATGACATTCAATTCTGGATTTTATTTGGCACAGTCAAGCAGCCAAGAGGACAGGCTGTCTGGGAACAGTTTGTAAATCATATTGATAAACTTACAGGAAAAGCAATGTATAACTCATAAAAATAGAAATTGAATACCTGCCTCATCACACATGCATTATTAAAATGTTAAATGGAAGTGGATAAGGGGGAATTGAGGGAGTCACATGGATGAATTTTATATAAGCATATAGATATTACAAGCTAAACCACAATTTATTAAATAAACTAAATTGGCTGACTTCATAAAATACATTGCACCATTAATTGTGTGGTATATATAAAATTGGTCAGATTTATTCCACATTATACCAATATGAAACAACTAACATTATCACTTAGCACAGTGTATAACCCTAAGAGCTATTAGTCACATGAATTATAGGCAAATTTCCATTTATTTTCATAAATTTCCATTATTTTTTACTTTAATATTCATAAAAAAATGCAAATGTGTAAAAACTATTGTAAAATATATGTGTGAAATTAATGAAAGTTTTGTGTAGAACTGCACAGCAGGATTCTATTTCTAAATTCTTTCAATTGTATTTAATGTTCAACTTAGTACATCAGTACAACTGGTAAATTCTGAAGCTTGTACAATGTGGGATACTTATTTGTCTTCTAACCACCTCAGTAGCCTGATGTATTTTCATGCTATTCGAACAGGACTAAACTATCTTTTCAAAATGCTAAATATATGTAACTTTGAAAACACCAGGGATTTCTGGTGCAATGATGTCCTTTCCTGTCCGTGCTTCTGTCATTAAGCTAGGAGAATAGAAAGAGGATTCATCTACACAGCTCACTTTCTTCCTTGAGGTAGGAAGAAAGTAAATCGATCTAAAATTCACTGGTCTCACAGGATTCCTCTTTCTGCACCTCCAGAACGAGGCTGGCATGGTTACTACCCTGCTGCAACCAATAGGAGTGATTATAGTTTTTTTTTCCCAATCAAAAACAGAGGTAAAGAGACAGTAAAGAGGAGACTAGCAAAGGGGGGCAAGGATCTACACTTGGCCTGGATGATTGACATGCAGACAGGCAAAGAAAGAAGATGGTGGTGGAAAAGCTAAGAAGGGAGGCTGAGAGCCAATGGTGGGCTCTGAGGTACCTATTAAGGCTAAATCAATAGGAATAATAACTTTATGGAAAAACCTGCTTTGTCTTCCTTCAGAAGGAAATACAAGGTATGTAAGAGAGATTTCTATCCACTCTGGAAGTAAAGATTAAAATGGCCTAGGAGGAATAGAGACAGACAGAAAGGAGAGATTATGCAGGGAGCCAGGGTTTAGATTAGATTAAAAAAATGGAAAAAAACATCCTGTAAGAAGACAAATTAGTCTGTATTTCTGAAGGAAAAAAAAGAGCTACATAGAGGATATGTCTGCAAAATCCCCAGGAAATGAACGTGACTAAGAGTTGATGGAGACTTCATATTTTTCTAAGAAATAAATACAATTGCTCCTGCAACTACTTTCAAAGTTGGAAGAGCATAAAAATATTTTATAGAGATTTGATACAAAAACAAATCCCTTGGATTGAAAAGAGATATAATTAGATTACTATGTTTACTATCTTTATCAAAAACTGCTATATTCCTGTTCCGTAGCATAGGGTTTTTTAAAAAAAAAACTGACCCAAAATATTTTAGCCAAAATTCAAAGTTCTTGCCCGGCCTTTTCATGCTGTTGCATACAAATTTGATGGTGTTCTCCAGTGATAAGTATATGACTCATGGGACTTGGCATTTACTTCCAAGTACCCCTGCAGTTGGATTATAAGAGTATTGATATCTGTTCCATCTCAACTTGAGCCATAGATTGCAAAATCTGCCTTGAACAAGTTTTATTTTTAAAGGCAAATACTAACTGGTGAATATGCCATGCTTACTTGAATATGAGGAACAGGTTATTTGCAAATGACATTCAAGTTTATTTCACCAGGCAGAAAACAGCAGGCAGGCAGCAGCAGAGTCCCAGATTTCCTCAGTTGCAGTTCTTGAACTCAGCATGTGCCCAATCATAATTAAAATATCATGAAATTGACATGGAAAATGCCAAATTAATTAACTCTAACACAGAGGCCATTTTTAAATTGAATAATCCTTTCTGTTCCATGAAGTCAGGTGGAATGTTGCAAGATCTTTCATCAAGCTAAAAATTGCATCTCTACTGACAATGCTAGAGCTGAACAAAAAGGCTTTGCAAAGTGGTATTATTGTGGGTATCCACGCCTAACTGCCAGGCCTTTGAAGGAATCCAGACAGGAAACCAAAACAATGAGTACTCGTGTGACCTTTCTTTTAAGGTAACAGAATTCTTCAAGTCTGAAAGTGCTTCCCTACTCCTTGCCTTCACTTTCCGGAGAATTTGGGAGGGTCCCTTCTGACCATTTTCCCCATCCCATTCCTCCTTTGGACTCAGATTTCATTTATTAGGATTGCCTAGCCTGTGACTCTTTCTCTGGTCTCCCAAGGTTATTCTCACAGCCCATTAAATTAGCCCCGATGACATCAAAATGCAATGCACATTACATTTTCATGATGTAAGCTCCACCATTTATACTTGTGTGTGTCATGGTATAAGCATGTAAATGCGAGTAGATAAATAGTACTTAAATGGAGAGGAAACAGCACTCTGTGATGTCATACTGGCCACATGACCATGGACATGTCTTCAAACAGCGCTGACTCATGGCCTTGAAATAAAGATGAGTGTTGCCCTCTATATACGGCAACAATTAATGGAGTAAAATCTGCAGAGATTCCTTTTTTCCCTTTTCCTTGTCATGATGTAAGTGTATATCTAGTATTTGCATAGTAACATCACAAGGCAATTTTGATCACGTGCCTTCTGTTATTGCAATGCTCTCTTGAAGTCGACTGGGCCTCTTGGAAAGATGTGCTAATAAGACAATCATCTTTCATTATTCTTTATAATTAAGCTCCTAAATAAAAACAGCTCTTTTCTCAATTGGCAAATTCCTTTGGAAAGCTTATTTCTTAGCACTATTGCAAACATATTCAGGTTTTATTTTCAGAGGGATATTCTGACTTCACAGAAACCTGGGCCTAAATGGACATTACTGTTGACAGTTGACTGTAGAAGGTAGATCCACACTTTTGATACCTTCATTGGTCAGTTCTAAGACTGATTGCTGTATCTCTTATTGTTTGGTTTCCTTTATATTACATTTTAATTCACTTTTTTCATTGTATTCCTTGACTTTCATTACTAGAGTTTATAGATCATTTCCATATTCAGCTATCAGACTAACGTCATCAGCATAACACAGGTTATTGATGCTTCTTCCTCCAGTTTTAAAATGACATTCATTCTTTTGTAGTCTTTGAATTAGCAATAGCAAATTCTGAAATTGCCAAGAAGACTTTCATGTTGATGAAAGGCTGGCTCACCAAAACACGCACACATTACAAAGAAGAACAATAGTTGAAAAGATAATGGAGACAAGACAAGCATATAAAGTACTTTTAATATAGTCAACCATCTTAGCTCCATTGTCAATGTTATATATAAAGCAAAGAGAATATGTGATAAAATGAAAGATAACATTCTGGCAAGAATCCCTCATAAAAGGCTGAGGAAACTGCATACAAAATACCGAGTAAAGGAATCTAATTTTAGTTCCAGGTATTAATTTGAGAGATTATACTACATCTAATACTCAATGTATTAAATAAGAAATCCAAGCATAAAATACACTGAATGGTTTTTCTGTAGAAAATAAAGTACATGTTGCATTTCAGTGTCTTCTGCAAGAACCATTCTGTCATTAATGGCACAAAACTTAAAATAAGGGCAAGTATGAGGAAATTTAGTGTGCGGCATCCATTTCCTAAGCCCTGCCAAGTTGGGCCAGCCAAAGCAGATGGCAGCAGCGTTTTTCTTTTCATCCCTTTTCAGCCAATTTGGGGTGGGGAATCTTACTTTTTGGCAAGTATAAATGTCAATTTCAAGGCATCCTTTACTTGATACTGTAATGTTAAATATTGGATTTGGATCTAGTTCAAGTCCCCACTCAGTCAAGGAAGTCTGACTGGGTAACTAAATGCCAATAATGCACTTTCAGTTCAAACTGTCTCCTCATAAGGTTGTTACTGGGGGATAAAATTGGGTATAGTGAGACTTCCACGTAACAAACCATTTACTCTCACAGAAAGGCAACTATACAATAAATAAATGTATCTTATCCCCTTAAGCATGCATAAGACTTCAATTTTCGCCTGTTTAATTAAAGCTACAAATAGTAACATTAACTCCGTGTTAGAGCTTTGTTTTATATACTGTAAAGCAGGGGTCCCCAACCCCATTTGTGGACCAGCACCAGTCCATGGCATGCCAGAAACCGGGCCACGCAAACAAGTAAAGCCCCATCTGCAGGATGCAGGCAGCATGTAAAACCACGCCCCCTCTGGTTCATGGAAAAACCTCTCCATGGAACCGGTCCCTGGTGCCCAAATGATTGGGGGCCACTGCTGTAAAGCTAAAGATCAAGGAATCCTACTATCAACATAAATATATATCCAATTGTTTAAAATTATAGTGACATTTGCCCTTAGTCCAGGTAAGACTTTTGCAGACAATTAAAAATGGATCAAGTTCCAATTTCAAGATTGTCAATAAAATAGTAAGCTACAGTAGCATCTTCAGGGCCAGGTCAAAAAAGTCAAGATAATGGCTTGCAACCATGCAATCTAAATCCTGCCCCCTTTTTTTACTGACATCTTACCTAGCACCATCTTGCTGTTTTTGATCCCTGGCAACATACATGCCTAGCAAGCTCAGACAAGGTAGGAAAACATGCGGAACATGACTTTTAGAATTCCTTAATAGCAGCAGAGTCCTGTGACCCAAAATGGAGCAGTCACCAAAACTATGAGCTGCTGCCTATTGCTCAATGGTGGGGATGCATTAGGGCAATTTACTCGCTGCAGTACCTGGTTGGCACATTTAAAAAAAACAATCTTTGATTTCTCCTACCATGCCATATTTGGTTGTGTTCTGTTTTTGAAGGCTTATCTTGGTGACTGATGGAGAGGCAGGATCCCAAACTCCCATTGCACTTCCAAAAAACCCCATTTTTTTCCAGTGGATTGGAAAGAATAAAAAAAGAATGTTAGATGCTGGAGATGTATATAGTGGAATTGACCACCTGCTTAATCCTTCTTGAAGGCATCAGGTCAAGGTTGTTATTAAAACAGCTATTTGACCCTCTGTCTGGTTTAAGGGTTCTTCTTTTCTTGATTTTTAAGCAAAAGGGGCTTGAAAAATTCATGTGAAGTTTTCAAGATTCTGCATCTTCTCTCATGCTTCTCACTTTGTTTGGTCCATGTTTCCTTTTATAGAACAGCTCTGATAGTCATATTGTTTTCTCTTTTTCCATGAGCTAATAGAATACAATCCTCTTACAATCTTTCCCTCACTTTTATGCAGGATGGACTATAGATGTGAAGTTCCTACACATCTCTACAGTCCATCTGTACAGTCACAGAACCACTCCTCACAAAGGAGCTCCATATTTGCCTGACAAAGATGAGGTATTCCGAATCAGCAAAACAGAATAAAAATCACGAGTGAACCCAGTGGATGAGGCTCCTGGCAAGCATTTAAAAATCAGTCATGTATACTTTAACAGAAGTTTATTATATTTTATTTTTGTCAGCACAGTAATAAACACTCAAGTAATAAATTCATGAAACCAATAGCATAGTTACTTAAACAAATATATATTTCTTTTAAACCAGAGATATACATAGTGCAGTTCATCTTGCAAACACAGAATTTTTCTTTTTTTAAAATATATACAAATATTATAAATACTAACCAGAGTAATGACAGACACAAAGAAAAAAATATTTCCACGCACTTGTACTTTGTCAATAATGTCATAGACAATGCTGAACAGATGTTGCCAATCCAACTGCAGAAAGCTAAACTATAACTTATTAAAACACGGACTTAGTGGTCCAGAAATAGATGTATTTTAGATATACTGTAGCATATTCTCTTCAAATGTAGACTGAACAAATCAAATTATAAAAATTGACGTAACTCCAAAAATGTTGGCTATGCATTCATTAGAAATAGCTTCCAGTGCTTTAATTGATTTAATGATAGTTCTTAACAATGTAAATACATATTCAACACAAATTCTTATTTAATAAGATAAGGATGCAATGTATTTTAAACTTTTTGCATCCCATTATAGTGATATTGGCACAGACACACGTAGAGACGCACACACAACTCTACTGAAGCCCCTTTCCAGCAAAGCACTTAATATATTGTAATTAGAAGCATATCTGTGATGCTAACTATATGGCCCATGGAATTCAAGGCTAGTAATCATAGCAACTCAAGCTTGCTATAATGGCTTTAGCTGTACTAAGGACAGAAGCTCAGGAGAAATATATTGATTGAAGAGTAACAGTGATGAAAGATTATCTACAGAACAGCTCCCCATATTCTTAAATAGCAAATGTACTTTAAAACAGCTGCCCAATATATATTGCTTGACACCTTTGTTTGCATGAGTTGGTGTGCAAGCAAGGAATAATTCTTAGGATCATCTTGCCATAATAGTGTGAAGGTAATTAAGTAGCTTTATGCATTTCTATGTGCATGCTGCCACAGTTTTATGACTGCTGCAGCAAACTCCAATTTGCAGACCCACCTTATTGTAGTGGAATCATAAGATGAATGGAAAGTGAATATCCTGTGTGCAAAGTCTCAATATGCTTATTCAAATTCACAGTTAATTAGATATTTCAAAAACAAAACACAAAATGTCACTTTGGAAGTGTGTGTGTGTGTGTGTGTGTGTTTGTATGTGTGTGTATTACAGCCTTCATGGAAATTTTAAATTACAAAGAGAAAATTACAAAGAGAACAAGAAATATTATTAAATAGTTAACACTGTTTGGTAATTGTTGATATTATTGAGAATCTAGTAGTCATCCATTAGTGAGAAGCCCAAAGAAAGTATGACTAAAAACAGAAACAATGAATATGTTGTCCTAGAAAGACTCTTTCCTGTGACATTTAATACATATACACATATTTATCTTGCTATAATCTATGCTCAAACAGATTCTGAACAAGAAGACTGGATCAGTCTTAAAACACACTTTTAGATTCTTTGGCAAGTATGAGTAGTCAGAAAAAAATACATTACTAGCAATAGACAATCATGATGGATAGATGATCAGGTACCTTGCCATTAAAATGATGCATCCATATTTAAGTCTGGAATGCTAGTAGGCAAGCAAAAAAGGGACCAATTGAATTCTCAAATTTAGCGATATATTGCTATGCAGCAAAATTAATGTATGATTATATTCATATAGTAAATATTAGCATTGAAACTAGCAGATACTGAAATTCTCTTCAAGGCTGTATTGTGATTTAAAAAATAAAATTTGGCTTCCAACTTCTTTCTGTTAACATCAACATTTCATTTGGAAGGAAAGTTCTGAAAATTCTGAGAAATACACAAGGTACATTTGAAAAATACACAGGACTTGATTCAAAGTAATCCTTCTGAGAATAGAAGGGATCTTTTCATTTGTGGGAAGAAATCTGTGAATCTGCTACTGAAAGAAATTAGGGAAGTGATTTCCTGTCTTCCCTAAAGGCCCACTCTCTCTTCTTGCAATCATATACTAGTCTTGAAAGCCAACCAATTCTTTGGAACTTAGAAGAGAGCGAGCAAATTCATGAAAATGGTGCCTCTTTCCTTTTCCACCCAAAGAACAATTTCCATAAGTAAAATGCTACTCAATAAAAACCTTACATCAAGTTGTATTATTACCATCAACTATTATGCAAACTATATTCCTTTGAATAAAAAGAATCCTCCACAACTTGTTTGACTTACTCAGATGAAAGAATGATGTCAAACAATTCATTGTTAACCACTGAGAAGTATGCTCTGTAAAGCTGATTAATAGAAACTAATCATAGCAGCTAAACACAATTGGTTCCAAAAAGAATGTTACAAAATTGTCTTCTCCCCAACCCCAATTTTGCAGGAGGCAGTTTATTTCACAAATCCATTTGTAACAAAAATTAGATTTCAGTAGAGTCTGGAAAAATAAATATTTTCATACTTGTATGGCTATACCGAGAACACCATTTTAAAGACTGGACTTAACTGTCCATTTACAGATCATAACCCAGATTTTCAATATGATAAATGAAAGTCTGAAGTTGTCCTAAACTCCTGAAAAATAGATGTTGTTTCATTTAGCTACAGTCTAGCTGTAGTCTAGCAGGTTGAAATTATTGGTACTGACATCTTCTTATTCAACCAGACAGTATTTCTCTTCTCCAAAGTCAGCATTATATTCTCTTCATGCATCAGCAGTGCTGAAATGAGATGAATGTAACAGTCTCTCAAAAGAGTTATTTTTTGCCTTTTCCCCCACCTCCCAACTCTTGGAGCAAGGATATGCCCAGTAGACGCTCTGCTCATGCAATACATCAAAGCCACACACTCCATGAGAGCCAGGGCTACTCCCCATTCTGACAGGAAAAACTGTAAGGCAATGCCATCTGTATGGCTAGCACAAGCAAATCTGGAGGAAAAAGGTACCTGCCTTTTCCAGGGACACTTCCCAGGCTTCCAGTTGTGTGCTACAGCACTGAACCAGGAGCGCAGGTGGCTGCCATGAGGATGTGCCCTAGGAAATAACTGTTTAGCAAGTAAGGCACCTCATATTTTTTTTCCAGCTGTGTGTAAATCTTACAAATCCCATCTGTCTAACGTCTGACATAGTTAAGGGAAAGGGAAGCTGCTAACAAACGTTCTTGGAACAACTTTAAATGTTTATTTTATTATAGCATTAAGTTTTTTGTCAGAAGAGCCTATTTCTTAAGAGTCAACTTTATGACAGGACCAGACCAAGATTGTTTGCTGCCTGAGGTTACCCACTGTCCATCTCCCACTTGAATAAAAAGCACAGCATCCAAAATTAGTTAAGTCATTTAGACACCAAAGGCAGAAAAATGCTGTATTATTAAAAATACGATAACAAATGAAATATTGCTTCCTTGCTTTCATGACATCTTACATCAACTGCCTGAGGCAGCCATGACAACTCTCCCAAAGTACTCACATAAATAGTTTAGGAGCAAAGTGGTAACACGGCTCTCTTTAGAATCTATCATGTTGAACAGTATATCATTATTTTGTTTCTTTTGGAAACGTGGCAAGCAGTGAGTCAAAATAGAAAGTTCAACAGAGAAGCCCAGTAGAACATCTGGAGAAAATATCTATTAGTTGTATGACAGATTTTAGATCAAGACCATTATTTGAATGATATTAAACTTGACCATAGTATATGCATTTCAAGGTTCTAGAAAACATGTATTTTAAGACCAATTTATACTATCCAGCTAGTATGATGATGAGTACCAAGAGAAATGATAAAATGCCAACAAGAAAGCAAGTTCAAAAGTTACTGATTAGGGAACACATTTCTAAGCACATGAATATACAGGTGTGTCTGTTTATTCATTGAAAAATCCAAGCTTTCCACCACATATTACTTAGCACTGAAAGCTTTCTGGGTACTCATTCATGCTAATTTTCAATAATGTAATAAATACACCATTGATAGTGCATGGTGAACAATCAGGAGAGCTCTCTGGCAACAAACGATCAATCCCAACCATTTGTCCCACATATTCATCATGCTAATAATTTAACTGTATAACAAACATCCTCTTAAATATCAGTATAGCTTGACAGTTAAAACACTCACTTCTCTTCATGAATAGAAGCATTATTGACAAAAGGAATTTCTTCCTTGTCTGTCTTCCCCAGGATCAGATTTTGTTTCTCCAAGTTTATCACACACTAAGAAATAAAGATTAATGAAATACATTAGAAAATAATTAAAATTACTTGAGTAAAAAGGATAAAGATGTGCAAAAGGAAGAAGACCAAGAAAAGAGAAGTTTACCTTCAAATATTTCAGTGTTTGTAATCCCAGGGAGAAGCTTTTCTCATTACCTTCTGAAAAAAAAATATAAAGACTATTCAGAAAGATGCATTTTTTAAAAAAGCTGTATAGGAGATCTGTTGCTATGAAGCACATTAAGGGTATCTGATATTGTTACTTTTTTCAATTGCTCCTCTCCACTGGATGTCCAGAATGTCTTCTTGTAGAAGTACACTCCAAGTACCACCGAAACAATGGCAGTTTTGTAATTTTTTATTCTCCAAATTTTGAAAAAAAATTAGCTTAGAATTATCCAAAACAAAAAAAGAAGAAACTCTCATGTCTCGTTATCAATCACATATTTGACTTACTGGCTATATCTTTGTGATCCTTGGAAGTTAAAATATAATATAAATTGAAAATGTGTACTCCACCTGCAATAGATTGTTCCTACTGTATTACAGGTAGTTCTCAACTTACGACCACAGTTGAGCTCAACATTTATGTTGCTAAGTGAGAAATTTGTTAAGTGAGTTTTGCCCCATTTTATGGCTTTTCTTGTGACATTTGTTAACTGAATCACTACAATTGTTGTATTAGTAACACTGTTGTTAAGTGAATTTGGTTTTCCCATTGATTTTGCTTGTCAAAAGGTGATCACATGACTCTGGGATATTTCAACTGTTATGACTGTGAATCAGTTGTTAAGCATCTGAATATAAATCACAAGACCATGGGGATGCTACAATAGTCATGAGTGTGAAAAATAGTCGTAAGTCACTTTTTTCAGTGCTGTTGTAACTTCGAATGGCCGTTAAATGAAGTCAAGAACTACCTGTACATATCTGTGGAACATGCATGTTCCATTACTACCAAACAAAAGTTTGTGTTGCAAAATTCTATACAACCAATACAATCAGGAGTTATTGTTATTAAAATTCAGAGGCTGCCCAATTCTAGAACAACTCTGGGCAGTTTACAGTTAAAAGACAGAAAACAGCAAGGAAAAAAAACTTACGTCCAAGCAAACTGCACTCTGTACTATAAAACACAGCCAACAGAGGTCCACAACCACCTGGAGGCCTGACAGGATAGCTACTTTGTAAAAGATTACCAGAAAATCACCCGAGTAAAAATCACACAAATATTTGGGAGATATAATTCCAGAAGGCAATTAAAGGGATGTGTTGGAGGGGGACGACGACATTGGTTTATCATTCTAAATGTTTACTGGTGAAAGGCTTGGCTATAGGCAATATATCTATAAACACTTACCAGCCACAACAACTGCAGAACAATCTACATGGACAGTCCCCATTATAAGAGGCAGATGTTCCAGATGGCCAATCGCTTTCATATTATGTGGCAATGAAATCTTCTCACCTTCTGCTTTGCAGGTTTTCATATGCTCTTTCAGCCTGAAGATGGAAATAAAACAACTGTGCTATCAGAAGTTGGTTCATTTTAGGGATTAGGTGTGATGGAATATGTAGAGAAGCAGTGGGGAAGTTTTGGCAACATGGAGTTTTCCCAGAGAGAGGCCTAAATTAAGAATCTATACATTCCCAAATTGGAAGAGGGGAGGGGAGAGATTCAGGGTAGCCACATCCTAGAGTCTCTCAGGATATATATAGCAGCTTATAACATTATAGCTTTAGATGGGCAAGATTCGGGTCATTAGGTATAAATAATTAATTGAATTTGATTGGGTTTCATTGGGTCCTCTGTAACCTTGGGCCTGACAGGAGGGTAATATATGTTGCACTGTGTATATTAACCCTAAACATGTCAGTCTAACCCAATATCTATTTGAAGTCCAAAGTCAGTCAGTCAGTCAGTCAGCCAGTCCTTCTTTCCTTTTTTCTACTTTTCTCTCTCTCTCTCTCTTCCTTCTTTCTTTCTTTCGCTTCTTCTTCCTTCTCTCTTTCTCCCCCCTCCCCCTTTTTCTTCTAATGTGAATAAGATATTACTATAACATGCATGCCTGCTTCCCTAAGATGAAGGTTGTTGCAGCACTAGTCATCTCTTTCAGGCTGCGTATAATTGACATAGTCTTCCTGGCTATGGACATGTAGCTTTCTTGCAAGCAGCAAAAAAAAGTTTTGTCATTTTCTTCTTTTGAGATGTTTTTTCAACTTCCAGGTCTAGCCTGAAGCTTGGGTATTTCCTAATGGCTTTCCCACCCTACTTAGTTCCTTAGTGCCGGACAGCTGACTGAATGGCAAGAAGATGTTAATTTCTTTTCCTGAACTCTCTACAAGTACTAACAAAGAAAGAAAAATAATTCTAATTTCACCTAATGAAAGTGAGAAAGCAGAATTGGTAACAAAGAAAAAGATTACCGGTATATAAAAATTACTATTGATTATATAAAGTTTTATGGCTAAATATTGTTTTACAAACTAAAATTGAGAAAATTATGTTTAAAAACGTTGACACAAAGCAAAAGGGCTAGTGATGTAATAACATCTCCCACAATATGGTTTAGATATGGTGTCTAATCAACATACACTGAGAAAAGAGGATCTGAAATATTGAATTAAAAGACCATTTTTGGAGCATCTGCTCGCTTCAGTTCATGATTTTTAAGCCACTTTTACAGGGAAGAACAGCAAGGATGTTTGTGCTAAAAAGCAGATTGTGCTATTCTGCCTTCATGAAAAATAGGGGAAAAATAGTTAAGATAATTTTAACAATTGGCAAACCTTTCATATTTTGCTAATACACGATGTTCTATTGCTCTGTCGAGTATCAAATGTGAATCATGGAACCACTTTTAGTTTTTGACCTTTTTGTTGTTCCCTTACATAAGGGATATACAATCTGTGGTCTTCCAAGTGACTCCTGAAAGTCCTAGGTATGATTCCCAAAGCTTCCCCCCCATCACCAAAGTATAATTTTTAACATGACAGAAAAATACAAATAAGCATATTTAATTTTTGTGCTGACCATTTTTTGAATGAGGTCCCCAGCATCCCACTTCAAGTGTGGCCCTCAAATAAAAAACAAGTGCCTCCCTCCGAGTCAAAATTGTATCCATAGATTTATCATCAAAGAGATTCTTTCAAGGATTTCCATATTATTTACTTATAAATTTGTTTTCCTTTTCTTTTTATATTTATTTTTGCGAAACTTATATGCCATCTTTTTTTCTAGGTTACAAGGCGATTTACACAGCGATCTTCCTTTATTTTAGTCCCAAAACAGCCCTGCAAGCTAAGCCAAAACAGGGTGACTGGCCCAAAATCATCCTCTGAATTTCTGTGGCTGAGAATGGATTTCTATCTTGACTCTTTAATGCTACTCTAATATTGCTTAACGCCTTGCAAGCCGCCCTGAGTCTCCGGAGAAGGGCTGCATATAAATTATAATATATATAATATATATATATATATATATATATATATATATATATATATATATATATATATATATATATATATATATAAATAAACAATACAAACAAACAAACAAACAAACAAACAAATAAATAAATAAATAAATAAATAAATTTTAACCGTCATTAACATATTGTCTATCTTGGGCATTTTTGCACCTTCCCCTGTGCATGTGTGCTCTGATCTTATTTTAGAACTCCGTTGATGTATGTGAAGTTTCTGAGTATGAAGATTTTCAACTGAAAATTTAACCTTGCCCTCTTCTGCTAAATTCACGCAACACATAACACAACGCAAACCAAAGCCCCAGTGTATAAGAAATAGACAAGAATGTGATGTGTAGAAAGTTGTTTTTTTGCAATTGATCTAAAAATGTTATCAGTTGTTGATGGGGAACAAATAGTAGTATTCAGAACACAGCCAGATTGGTGTACTGATGGATGTATCAGGCTAAGAATTAGGAGACCATAAACTCTAATTCTGCTTTATGCATGAAGCCAGCTGGGTGACCTTGGACCAGTCACTCTTTTCTCAGCCCTTCGAAGAAAGCAATGGCAGCAAACCACTTCTGAAAAAGCTTGCCAAGAAAACTGCAGGGACTAGTTCAGGCAGTTGCTAGGAATCAAGACTCGAAAGCAGAAAAAGAATAAAAATAAAAAAATGACTCAGAATAGCTACTTATTAGGAATATGTATAATAGCATTTTGAAAAAAAAAGACACAATACAATGTAAAGGTCAGTACAAAGGGAAACAGAAATCCATTGTCACACAGGGTAAGAATTTCAACAGATGTACTTTCACATAGGAATACAGTAAAATCTTGATTTCAAGGGCAATTTGTGGAAAGCTGTCTATAAAATCTGGACATCTGCTAAATTGATGTCATTTTAGGACATCTGTGTAAATAGCATGATTTATAATAAATAAATATAATAAATTATAGTAAATTAAATGGGGTGAAGTCTGAACAACGTGTCCACTGTGCAGTTATCTGCTCGTTAAAGTGAGGTTTTACTGAAATAAAGAAAACAGTACCTGCTCAATTCCTTCTACATGTAAAATCTCAGAAATCTTCTACTCTCCTACTGATTCTGGACCAGAGCAGGACAAATGTTTTTCTCCCAAAGGTTGAGGAAATTTCAGTGCAGGAAATACATTCTATGCTAGTAGTAGGCAGACCCACAATCTTATTCTATTTTATTTTATTAGTACTTTGCTTTGTAGACCACAGGAATGATAGAAGAAATAGCTATCTTAACTGTGAAGCAATCATAAAAAAAAAATAAACCTCAGCAATCTTGCTAAGTATAGATTAGGTGACTTGTGTATCAGATAGTTCTACATATGAAGATCATCTTACAAAACCTTTTTCTTCATAAATCCACAGTAACTTGCAAGTTGTTGTTGTTTTTATATTTACACATCAACTGTTTTGTAATCTTCTCTAGAATCTTCCAATGTACTGGTATTGAATTGGCTGACCTGTGGCTCCCTGGCTCCTCTTTTTTCCTCTATTTTTGATAAGAATGACATTGGCCAGTACCTAGGATTTCACCCGATTCTCAAAAGCAAGAAATGGAAGATCAGCCAAGCCAAGAAGTCAAGCTTCTTCAATATCATAGCATGTAAAACAATTGGCTTTGTCTGCCTGAACTCATATAAGGTCATTAAGTATTATCTTCTTTATATTTTCTGTGAAGGCTAAAATCCTTCTATTCAGGCTAAAAGCTTTCTATTCACAATTCTCCATTAGGACATATATCCTTCAAGGTGAATGAGCCAAAGTAGTTGAATAGTTCTTTTCATTATATATTAGCATTTCATCATCTTCACTGAACAGCTGATAAACCATTTTTCTTTACTTTTCCTTACTTTTATTTTGAATATATTGACGAAGCCTTTTTTATTCTTTGCACCCTCTGCTAGTTTCATTTTATTAAAAACTTTTACTTTCTTAACACCATCTGTACAAATCCAAGTTATCTTTATTATTTTTTGTTTCCAATTCCTCTTTCCACATATTATAAAAGTCCTTTTTTCCCTCCCAGGTTATTAATGTTTTTCTAATTTTTTACCAGCTCGCACCCATTTCTCTTGTGGCTGAATTTTATTTAGCGCTGATCTAAATGTATTAAAATATGATTTTAGTCCAACATACAGTACATGGCATAGAGCCATGATTACTTGAGGAGCACCTGTCTCTCATACTACGTTATCTGCCCAGCTGATTCAATCTTTTAGGGTTGACAAACTTTGGGTCCATTCAACAATGTCATCTATCAGGGACTCTGTAAGTGTACCTTCTCTGAAGCAGGACCTGCACTCTGGAATAAGATTCCCCAAAAGATCTGGATGGCACCCACCCTGTAGTTTAGAAAGGCCTTACAGCCTGGATCATTTCATTTTGTTAAGTTTTGTTTATTCATCTTAAGCAAGATTAGCTGATCTGTCTGTTACTTAATTAACCTTCTAAATGGAAGAAAGCTAATAGCAAGAGAAGTCAGACATTTTCTGGAAAGATATGCAACACAGAATTTACGTCCCCTATGATATGAGGTCATTCTATTCCTTCCTGAGTTTGGAAAAGATTCATAATATGCTTTTAGAAAACTTTGCCCACTTCTTTTTCTTGGATGGAAAATGTACACTAGAGAGTAACAACTATATTGTTTTCATTCCCTCTTCTATTTCTTTTAAATCTAATGGTTAACAATGATACCAGGTTCATTCCCCAAATAACCAAATATTCTATTTTTGCTCTGCTTCTTTTGAACAAGTTACATCTTCCAATTTCTGCATTCTAATTCTAATCACGAGAAGTATTCCAATAGATCTGTGATACCAGCAACATCATATTTCCCCTCATGTAGTAACAGTTCAACCTCATCTTGTTTTTGAGCATCAGAGAGTGGTGAGATGGTTCAGTAGTTAAGACACTGGGCTTGCTGGCTGGAAAGCTGATAGCCTGGGTTCAAAACAGTGGGGTGAGTACCCATTTCGCTTAGCTCCTGCCTACCTA